GGCCTCCCCGGTGGCGCAGCGGTTGAGCGCTGGGTTGCGAAGCTGCGCGCAGCCTCTGCGGCGCCGGTTCGATCCCCGGCTGCTCCCCGGCCACCGGAGGAGGGTCCCACATGGCGCGCAGACCTCTCCTGCCGCCCGCTGCTCCCCTCAGCAGTGTACTTCGGTCCTTCTGCCTGCTCTGCTCCCCGCTCTGGCTCTGGTGAATTCTCTCGCCCTCCCGCGCTTCTGACTGTACCCAGTGCATGTATAAACAAAAACAAACAAAGAAACCAGCAAACAAATAAATAAAGCATGCCTCTATTAAAAAAAAAAAAAATAAAATATATATGATGTGCAGGAGCTTGTTAGTTTGACGTGGCTCCACTGGTCTATCATTGCTTCTGATTCCTTGGCGCACAGAAGATATCGAGGGCAGTGAGTCTACTGTGTAGAGCACATATGGTGTCCACGTCATTGTACATTTGTTTAAAATTCATATCATGGAAACCACCAAGAGTGACCCTTAAGGGAAGCCAAGGGCCATGAGAGATGATGATGATGATGATGATGGTGATGATGATGTGACAAATGTGCCGCTCTGGGCTTAACATGATTTGGACATGATCTGAAGGGTTTTGCAAGTTGTCCTTCTGAAGAAAGCATGCACACAAAAGAAGATTTTACATTGAAGAATTTACACATGCACACATACACACACCATAGCCCAGCAGTGAGTCCGGTGCCCAATCCAAAACCCGTCAGAAATTTGTCATTTCCCTTCCCAGAAAAGTATATCTATACTTGCATTTAGTCATGAGTGTATATCGTCATATAAGTACAGGAGTTTTAAGACACAGAGTGGGAGAAAAGATTTGTAAACCAAATCATGTATCTGATAAAGAACTTGTATCTATAATTTATAAATGAACTCTTACAACTCAACTATAAGAAAGTAGCCCAATTTAAAAATGGACAAAATACTTCACCACTGAGGAGATAGAGGTGCCAAATAACCTCATGAGTGATAATAATACAGGTTATTAGGGAAAGACATTAAAAACGAGGTGATAACAATTACACATTTACTAGAAGTCAAAAAAAAAGGTACTACCAAGTGCACACTGAGGAACAGGACCCCCATTGCTGGCAGGATATGAGATGGCACAGTCACTAGGGAAGATTTTTGAAAGTTTCTGTTAAAGTCAAACACTGACGGGCCATACAGTCCAGTGATGACTGTCCCAGCTCTTTACCCAACTAATTTGAAAACTTTTTTTTTTTCAAAATAAAAAACCCTGCATGGAAGTAAATGTTTATAGCAGAATACCCACTAAGTGTGAGCTGCCCATAGTGACTTCCTTCCAAAGACAACAGTAATTACTAAATAAATGAAAATAAAATGGTGCATCTTTGTACACTTGATGTGTTGATGGAGAACAGCATTTCACCCTGTGGTCTTCTTTCCTCAAAACTATTGTTCCGAGCAAAAGCACTCAAACTGAGGCCATTACTCCTGAGCAGCTCTCCTTACAGATGTCAGTGGCATCAAAATCAAGGAAAGTTTGAGAAACTGTGAGCCAGAGGCGCCTTAAGGACACCAGGAGGAGACTTCATGTGGCGTCCTGGATGGGATGTCAGAGCATAAAACGGACAATAGGAAAAATTAATGAAACCCAAATACAGTGTGGAGTTTATTGAAACGGCATCAGTATCGTTTCCTTAGCTTCACAAATCACTTAGTAGTCATGTGAGATGTTAACAGTTCGGAAATTATGTGGGTTATACAGCAACTCTACTACCTTTGCAACTCTTCTGTAAATCTAGCAGTATTTTTTAAAATACTGTTAACAAAGCTATAGGTTGTAGAAGGAAAAATGATTTACTTTCCAGATTTCCCAGGTTTCACTATGAAGGGACTGGAGAGAGGGGTTCCGGGGAAAAGCTCGAAACCTCACACCCAGGGCAGGCTCCGGAGTCTCCTCCCCTCTGAGCCCTGCTTCTCTGGCTCCTCACAGAGCATCTCAGCCCCAGGAGGCCGCCCTCCAGGACCCCCAACTCCGCCCACCTCAGCCACCGCCCCGTCCCGGCGGCTCCACCAGAATCCGGAGCAGCGCGGCAGCGCCCCCGTGTGGCCACAGGGCTGAGCACAGGAGCCCAGAGCTGCCCTTTCTCCTGCTCAGCCAGGCCCTCCCCAGGCTCCCTGGGCTCCCAGCGGCAGGAAGAGTTCCACTGTCATGTTAGAGGTCCTCAAACTTCCTCCCTAGCGAGTGACTATAGACACAGGCCTCATGGAAGAGCCCAGTCTCTATGTCATAAATAGCTGGTTCCCAGATTCTGGGTGAGTCCCTCATGTGTACTGTTTCCCTCAGTCTCTCTGGATGAAACCTTGGACTCCAGAGTCCCTGTTATTTGTTCCTGCTTCCAGGGATGAAGTGTCTTCTACTGGGAATCAGCCCTAAATTCTCCATCCCTAGGGTGAGGAAAGGAGTCTGATAGTAGAACCTGAGACTCTGTTCTAGGTGTTCTAGCAGCCAGGTGATTTCTGTGCTCACTGAATTGGGGGCTCCCTGGTCTCCGTGCGGTCTCCACGTGGTGTCAGACAGTACAGCAGGCTCTAGGGGGTGTCTGCTCAGATTGCTCATCACTGGGGGTCTGGGGTTTAACCTGCTCCCTTCTTTTCCTTAGTCATCACTCCCTGGGGGACCTTTCTAAGCTCAAGACTTCAAACACCATTCACATCCTATCACCGTCCAAGTCTGTTTCTTAGCTCAGATATTTCATCTCTACTCCAGACTTGTCTGTCCAAATGCCAACCTCACTTTCATTTCTAATAGATCTCAGCTTCGATTTCTTAAATTGAATGCCTGGGATGCCCACATATGGGTATTCTGGGTCTTCCCCACGTCACTGAGGCTCCACCTGTCTGCCTGCACAGTCTGAAACACTGAGTGTCATCCTTGATCCCTTTCTCACAGTCCAGCAGTAGGAAACACTGTAAAGTCCATGTCTAAATACACACAGATCCTATCACTGCCTGATATTTTCCTGCTCTCCTCCCCATCCCCCAACAAAGCCACCAACCTCTCTGTCCTGGAACTTGCACTGGTTTCCACCATTTCTCTTCCCACCTCACACCCTTCGATGCTGCACAGCAGCAAGATTGAGGCTCCTAAAAAGAAGCCGCACAAGTTGGTCTCTGCTCAGAAGTTCTAGTCACCCCAAACCTTACTCAGAAAGTTAAACCTCGAGGCCTGAGTGATCTGGGTGCACACAGATCTCATCTCAATTACCCTCTAGTCCAGCAGTCTTTACCTCAGCCTCACAGATTTTTGCCTCAGGCATCTGCACTGGAGGTTGCCCTGCCTGGACTGAACTTCCCTGGACATCCTTGTGGGCAACATATCCATCAAACTTTTTCCTCAATGATCACCTAAAAGAGGCCCACACTGACCACGCTAGGGAGAGGCCATCCTTCCTATTGAAGGACAAGGACAAAGGAGCAGAGAGATGACCCCTGAGGAGTGACCACCTCAATGCCCACGACACACTGAGCCCCAACTGGACACAGGCCTCACCCCCCTCAGCTCCTCACAGCCTCTCCCGCCCCCACCTGCACAGACTCAGCACAGCAAACCTGCAGTTCTGGCTGGTCCTCAGGGCTCCTCCTTATTTCATCTCAAATTTTAGGAATCCTGCTAATTAATCCATCAATCCTGCTACAGACAGCCGATGAGAATTTCTCAACTGTTAACGAAGACTCAGAGTGTAAATGAATTAGAGGTGGGGGGAGGCTGGGGAGAGCCATCAACAGCAACTCTGCCTTTCACTCTTCCAGTCCATCTTTCATTAAAGATACAAACAAACAAATAAGAAACCAGCATGCAATTGTGTTTGTACTTACACAGATTAATCAGTTACTTTTGGAACACGTTTTTCCAGTTAGTGGGGATCATGCACACACGCCAGCATGTCCTCAGAGAAGAGCAGCAGGCTCCCAACATATCCCCCTTTTGTTTCTGAAGCAGAGTAAGTATAACTAGCTTTGGCAAAGCTGTTCACCCAATGAAATAATAGATTCTTTTAATTGCTGTATTTTGGCTAAGATTTCCTTGTCAACATGGATTTGGTTTTCCCAAGTTTCTGTAAATTTTTTTGGAAAGTTTTGCAGGTACTCAGAGGCGTGTACCACTCATGGAGGTCAACGGTGGCAGTAGTTGCAGCAGCGATGATGCTGGCAAGGCTAGCAATGTCTGCAGTCACCACCCTATGCAGCTTTGGTGCAGTGAAATAAGTGATGCAGCAACTCCTGCATGAAAGCCATAGAAGAGGCCTTTGCCATAGAACCCCAGTAGCTACTAGCCTTTGTTTTAACTACTTCACAGTTGCCCATAGGATGACTTACACAATTCACCCTGATCTGGCAATCCCTGAATGGGTTCATTTGAATAGCCAGCCACTTCTAGAACTCCATATGCAGAGCAAACAGGTGCTCTCAGAAAACTCCAGCTCCCTTTAGGGCAGCAGCTTCCAACCCACATGACCAGGTAAGAAAAATAATTTCACATCTGATTATTTTCAATAGGCAAGTAGATATTATTCTTCAGGAAAATACAAAGTACAGGCAGGGATGGAGCCAGCCCCGCCTCTGCTGGAGCAGGAAAGTCATCAGGGAGAGACAAGGTAGTGTGGGGAGGGGCCTGGTTGGGGGGGCTGGGCCAGTCTCCCCACCTTCTCACATTATCAATTAAAAGACAGAATCAGGGCCTCCCCTGGTGTCGCAGCAGTTGGGTGCTGTAGCACAGGTTTGGTCCTTGGCCTCCAGGCGAGGGTCCCACATGGCACACAGACCTCTCCTGCCGTGCTCACTGCTCCCCTCAGCAGTGTATTTCATCGGTTTGCCTGTTCTGTTCTCTGCTCTGTCTCTGGTGAATTCTCTCACCGTCCCACGCTTCTGACTGTACCCAGTGCTTGTAAAAATAAATAAATAAATCTTTTTTTTAAAAAAAAAGAATCAATTATTCATATGCCTGTTCCAACAAGAAAAACCAGTGGATGTTGAAGCCACAAAATGAAGATGAGAAGAAATCCTGCATCACTCAGTCCCCAAAGGCAGCGGTCTCACACTGTGTAGGAAAAGGATTATGAACAAAGTTAGGGAGGTGTTCACATTCTAATAATCCACCGCACCCTCACAGTGTCCCCCTCACAGCTTTCCCATAAACTGGTCCCATCCTCTCTGGGATTAACCCTGCTGTGCACACAGAGATTTCAGATCTTTCAAGGACTATTATGTGAAAAAGTATCCTTATTCTGTTTGAACATCTCACCTGTATGGACTATCAGAGAATCACCAGAATCCAGGGAACTGTCACTGCCTGGGGGAGAACAAAACAGAACCTGGTCAGAGCCATGAGAGATGAGACCCCAGGAGGAACTGATTGGGGTGACTCCCCCATGGGCTCCACCTACACTGTCCCCAGGGGCTCTGGGACCAAACCCCTGATCCACACTTACCTGCAGCTTGAGTGGAGCTTCCTCCTTGTCCACCTGTGGGAAGAAACATCCTGTAAGACCACAAAGGAGTGGGGCCACGAAGTCCTAAATGAATCCCCTAGTCTGGGCCACAGGGAAGTTTCCAAAACCAGGCCTGAGGACCAAGGGCAGGACCAGGAAATATGAAGAAAGGAGATGAGGGGACACTGGATCAACCACCTCCTGTAGTCTGTCCTCAACAGGGACCTTCCCCTCTGCCATTTGCTGGGAATGAGGATCCCATCACCAGAGTTGTTGGAGACCCCCTAAGGCATAAAGTGCTGAGACAAGAAAAACATCAGAGTTGTGGCTAGAAGACTGGCCAGTGCACAGCTCAGGATGTTCTTTCTTGTGTCTGCGAAACTATGTCTGGGGTCAAACTGGATTAGAAAAGAAACAGAACAACCTGATAGGGCAGAACCTTGGCAGTGAGTGTGTGCAGGGACAAGGCTAAATGCTAAGAGAATGCTTCATTGCCTAGTAACTAACCAGGAGGAAGGGGGGCAGTTTGTATCAATAAAAATGAGTTGCACTGGGCACTCGGGACCATTAAGCACCAATGAGAGGCCTTGTGTCCCCTGGGTCCTGCTTCTCTTAAACTCTATTTTGTGTCTGTCATTTCTTTATTTCCTTGGTTCAATCGGATTCCTCTCAACCCTATTCACTGGAGCTAGACTCCAGCAAGAATTATCAAGGTGAACAAGTGGTGATTCATTTTCATATGTGGTTTACAAAAGAGTGAGGAGTAGCAATGTGCTCCCGACTGGGCAACACAGTGTGTGGATGGTACTTCCCATTACCAGGCAGGGCAAGTTCTCCTTGGGACATGAAGGACCCCAGTGGACAAGGCCCCCGACTCCCTTCCCTACCAGAGCGCTTCTTCCTGCACCTCCCAGCTGCAGCCACTGCAGCTCCAGTGAGCACAAGGAGAACCAGGCCAGCAATGATGCCTGCGGTGGGGACGGAGGACTGAGGAGGGGGCACTGGAAGGGAAGGGAGGGTGAGACCCTGAGCCTCAGGCCTCTATCCTGACCCTTTGAAGGTCTCCAGAAGGGCTCCTGGTGCCCCTGAGCAGAGGCTCTGTGCCCACGTCCCCTCCTTACCCCATCTCAGGACTCGGGGCTCCAGAAGCCCATGGTGCTGCACATGGCACGTGTAGGTGTATCTCTGCTCCTTTCCAGAAGGCACCACCACAGCAGCCCACTTCTGGAAGGTTCCATCCCCCCCAGGCCTGGTCTCCACCAGCTCCGTCTCCTGGGTCCAGTCCTTTCCATCTTGCTGCCAGGTCAGGATGATGTCCGCAGGGTAGAAGTCCCGGGCCCAGCACCTCAGGGTGACCTTCTGCTCAGAGGTGGGGTGGTGGGTCACATGTGTGTTTGGGGGAACTGAGGGGAAGGGTGAGAAAATTCACACTTGGGGTTTCTTCCACAAACACTGAAGCAGCCTCTCTGACCATCCTCAGAATGGACAGGGCAATTAGTTTGGAAAGAGGAAGCAGAAAATCTGAAACCAGCATAGTGTGGGGAATGTAAGATAATCTTTCATTCATTAGAAAGTTTTAGAATCTGGGGCCTCTCTGATGGCGCAAGAGGTTAAGACGCAGCACTATGAAGATACCCGCAGCCACTGCAGAACGAGTTCGATCCCCGACCAGCCAAGGAGCAACCCACATGGCGAGACAGACCTCTCCTCTCTCTGCTGCTGCCCTCAGCAGTGTACTTTGGTCTTTCTGCCTGCTCTGCTCCCCGCTCTGGCTCTGATGAATTCTCTCACCCTCCGCGCTTCTTACTGTACCAGTGCTTGTCTGAATAAATAAATAAATCTTTAAAAAAAAAAGAAAAGGAAAAGAAAAAAATGAACAATGATGTAAAAAAAATAAAATAACATAAAAGAAAAAGAAACGGTATAAAAATAGGAGGCAAAAGAAAGTGTTGAAGTTCTGAGAGGTATCTGAAAAAAAGTTATGTGCTCAAATGACTTGCTATAGAAATATTTAAGTTTAGTATCAGTAGTGTACTTATATAAAACCAAACTTTAATTTTCATCTGTAATAAGGACTCAAGAATCCTTTAACTACTGTCACTAGTTTTTGATGACAAATTAAGGACTGTTTACGTAATCTAAAATCTTGTTGCTTTTTTACCCTCAGGCTACATGAGAAAAAAATGTTTTCCTATCATCCTTGCTGAGTCTCCTCAAAGAAATAGCTCTGTTCTTAAAAATCCTTATCACTCTGAGTAATTAACTATTTTATAAAAATCTTTAAGTTTGTAAATCCTATGACAACCTCCTTGATAACAAAAAATTCTAAATTATTAGAGTCTTTGTCCTAAAAGGACTCCTAAGACAGCCAATTTGTAAAAACAAATTGGGTCAATCTGGGTATACTGATAAAAATAATAACACATTCAATTTTAGTCTTCCTTCCTATTCCTCTATGGGGACAGGACATCATAACCAAATTCCAAACCAACAGTCCATTGGCTCTTCGAGCCACTGCTACAAAAGGTAGAAATAATACAGAAGCCCCAGGTCTCAAATGTAATGATATTTGACAAATAGACATTACATTCATGTCTCTAAAGACACCTATTCTGCATTAATTCAAGCCTCGGCCCAAACAGTTTTTAAACATGTTAAAAAACAACTTTTTTTTTTTTAAGATTTATTTTTATTTATTTATACAAGCACTGGGTACAGTCAGAAGCGCAAGAGGGTGAGAGAATTCACCAGAGCCAGAGCGGGGAGCAGAGCAGGCAGAAGGACCGAAGTACACTGCTGAGGGGAGCAGTGGGCGGCAGGAGAGGTCTGCACGCCATGTGGGACCCTCCTCCAGTGGCCGGAGAGCAGCCGGGGATCGAACCAGCTCTGCAGAGGCTGCGGGCAGCTTTGCAACCCAGCGCTCAACCGCTGCGCCACCGGGGAGAACCTAAAAACAACTTTTATCTGCCATTGCAGTGATGGGAATTCCTTCACAAATGAAAGCTGATAATGGACCTGTTTACATCTCCAAAGCCTTTAACTCTTCCTGCCAAGTTGTAATATTCAACATGTGCCTGGCATCCCTTATAGCCCTACAGGACAAACTATAGTTAAAAGAACCAACAGGTTACTTAAAACACAACTTATAAAACAAAAAAGGGGAAGCTAGAGAGCAAGTTGCCCCCACTGGAACAAATATATAAAGCTCTATTTACTTTAAATTTCTTCATTTGCAATTCCTCTGCCCTAACAGCTGCTGAAGGCATCTCACTCTTACTGAGTCTGGAAGACCAGAGGTTTTGTACCGACCCCCCGCTACCAGGACCAAACTGGACCAAACTGGTCCCATCGCTAACCTTGGAGAGGGGACGCTTCTGTCTGCCCCCCACAGAACCTCTTTGGATACCAGCAAAGGCTGTGCGCCCTTACCATGAGTTGGCGTCAAACAGGGATAAACCCTGTTCCGGAGATTCAAATGGTTGCATACGCCCGCCTCCCAGGAGGGGACAGAAAAGGAAGAAGATGGATCTTTTGGACTCGATGAAGCAATCTGCTCAACCGACCGGGGTGATCTAAAAAAGTTAATGAGTGGAGCAGAAAAAACTTTAAGGTCACGGGGATGCCTGAGACCCCAGAACATTTGTTTTCTCAATGTTACTTCACATTACCATTAATTCTAAAGGCTGAAGGTAACGTGACTCCTCTTCCTCTTAGGACTATTATGTTCCATTCCATCTAGTGTAAGTAACACCACCTATTGGACACATGTATTAAATCCACCCGTGTTTAGTTTACTCCCATGTTGACAGTCTGGGAGAGGTAAAGGCACCTATTCTGTATTCATTAATTTTCTGGAAGAAATTGGATTCTCCTTCCGGTCCACTAAGAAATTGCCGTACTAAATGTAACCAAGAAGGTTGTCAGGGTGGATGGCATTTCCTTGTTCATGATTGGTTTTTCCTCACAGAAGATCTGCCCATGTGTGCCATTGTGCCCCCAACTCTGGTCATTATTACATCCCTTTCAACCTCAACGGTACATGAATCACATTTATCTAGGTATGGATGGTGAAAATCACAGTAATAATAATGAAACATCAAATTTTCATTCAAACAGGAGTAGAAGATAAATCAATATTGGGAAAAACCTTTCCCAAACCTAATGTCCCCACCTGTTCTCCTCCCTGGGAACCACTTGGAGAAGGGCTGGACCTAAATTGGGTCATCTGTAGATCAACTGATCTTACAGTTAATTCTTTGTTTGCTAACCAGTCCCTAGAAACTGGGGACCTTGAAATTTATTGGTCCAGGAAACTAACATTACCTGGAACTGGGCCCTTCCATTTAATTATTATGGCTATCCTGGACACTGGAATCCAGGTTTAGCTGGGCCTTTTTTAAGAATCAGACATCACTCTCAAATGTCTCCCTTAAAAAAGCATTTTGGTGCATCAACTTAACCTATTTCCCCCGAGTGATCTGTTAAAGACCTTATTAAGGCTAGATGCCATGTATGGACCAGCAATGACACTACAGCTCAGGTCATGATCTGTACTTCTAGACCCTAGATTTTTTACTATGATCTCCAGAACACCTAACATTATGGTGACTACTGATTCTGCCTCTAGCCAGCAAAAGATTAAACGTTTTAACACTACCCTTCATGCCAATGCCACATGGTTAACTCCTTGCATCACTCACCGTATCATCACTAGCCTTAACATTATTCATGTGTTCATTCTAAAACAAAGAGCTGAGGTCTGGCTGCCAGCAAGTCTTACCCGTGAGTGTCCTGGAGAATCTGCTCTCTTGAACAAATTACCAATGCTTTAGAACATGCTCTTTTTGGGTGTCCTCATAGCTACTATTATTGCTGCCACTGCTATGGCCGCAGCTGCTGCTACTGCTATAGTTGCCCTACCCCACTCCATTCACACTGCACAGCAAATGAATCGATTTTTCAAAAATATTACTTCTGAACTCCTGACTTAAACCACCATTGATCAGGAAATCTTACAGCAATTAGATGCCCTT